GGCTCCCAGGCCCGGCTGAGCCCCCCCTTTCCTCCCTGTTGACATTCCTGGGCTGTGCTGGGAGCTGCCAGCAGGCCCAGCCAGCTGAGAACTTTGCCCCTTGCACTATGGTTGCATCATCTCCAGTGGGTGCTTTTTCCCAGACAGCCCACTCTGTTTACACGTCACCTCTGTGCTTGGCCAGAGGCAGGGGCTCTGTGCGGTCAAGACCTTGGAGTCAGCGCTCCGCAGCACGGTGGTCACAGGACATGCCTGAAGGGCTGGCTGGGCTTCAGGTTCCCACTGCGCTCGTAGGTTCCCTGCTCTGGCACAAGAGTGCTGGGCTCGCCTGCTCTGCCAACAACATGGCACCTTGCGCCACTTTTGTGAGATTTCTACAGGAGCCTGCCCTGGCTCAGGCTGTGTGCCCTGCGCTAAGCACAGCATCTGGGGCTAAGAATCAGAAGAACGCCTTCAGATTGATGTGACGCTGGCTGCCATTGCATGAGCCCTCAGTACATACAAACATCCATTTTAATTTGTGGGGAAGAAGGGGCATAGTATACACCTTTGCTGGCCCTGCCCAGCTCCGTCCTGGGGTGAGACTGGACCTGGCAGTCCAAAGGGTAGGCTCAGACCCCCGAACTCATCACATGGCAGGAGTGACAAAAGCCCAGAGATGTGAACAGTCCCCAGGGAGCTGCAGGGGTCATCCTGGGAACAGCCCCTTATGCCTGCTGGGTCCTCTGTCAGCAGTAAGCGAGACTGGCCCTGCCAGGATGGCTAAGAGGGTGCCTGGGGGGCAATGCACAGGTGGTGGTGGGAGGTCTGCAGGCTCCATGGGCAGGCAGGTGAGGCTGGGATCCATCCGGCAGGCTGCTCCAGGATCGATGCTCCTCCACCCAGCCAGGATTTGCCCCAGCCCTCACTCCCTGCAGGTTTTGGACCAGGCAGAGGAGCTCAGCACCCTGCTGCCCCTGCAGGGGTGCCTGGCTTGGTCCCTCTTGCACCCCTGGGCAGATGCCAGGGTGAGCTGCAGGCAGGCAGAGCCTGCATGCAAACGTGTGTGAGAGCCCCGTGGGCACACACCAGCATGTGCCACTATTTGTGCACACCCATATGCAGCCCCCCCGTGCACAGCCTCCCGTGTGCCCCCCCCCGGTCCAGCCCCCGCGGTGCCTCCCCAGGCCGGGGTCG